TATGATAGTCGCTCAAAAAGTCTTGCATTATATTTAAAATATTTAAAAATTTACCTATAGGCTATAAGTATTAGCAATACTAAGTATTGTAAAGAATTCTGGCTACGCCACTGATTAAACTTGGCGTGGTGAAACAAAGACGGCCTTTGGACTTTTCGGTCTCGCGTATTTATTTATACATTACGATTTTAAGATTAAGCTTATTAACGCTTCTAAGTCACCTAGTTGATGTTGATAGTTCACAGATTGTCCGTGGCAATAAATATTTAATTTAAGTTTTAAAGTAAATATAAAATAGTAATAATATGAAACAAACTTACTCGTAAACATCGAATCTTCCGGTGAAACCTAGCAAGAGTGCCGCCGTCGCCGAAGAAACAGCTATCTTCATCCATCTTCATCTCGCTTCGAACTAAAACTTGAAAGTATCGAAATATTTTATGAATATAACCAAAGCTTAGCATTAACTAGTTAGAAAGTTACATTTTAAGTAACTTTCTAACTCAACTAGTTAGTTTTAATTCATATTAACTTTGTAACTTAACTAGTTGAATTTAATGTGTAAAATAGTCTAATCTAACTAGTTAGAAAAAAAACTAACTAGTTATTATTATTATTATTTTTTTGATTCTGAAATTCCAAAAGCTGTTCCTCAATCATGACATTATGGCTATAGGTTATATGCCTATATAGATTATATTGGCTCATATATTATATTATTAATTATTAGTATTTATAATAATGCACGCATAGGAACCCCGGCTTTTCCACATAGTCTGTATAGAATTTTGATATCTTCTATAGGTAGATATAATTAGTATCCATACTGGTAGCTTAAAAAATAATTAGTGTAGACGCGATGCCGAATTTTCGTGGTACCGTGGTACCTAGTGTATCGATGGACGGTGGTTTACATTTACCCCTTTATCCATATTACTATTTAATTATTACAGTATTACCTATATTTAAGATTTAACAACTACCTATATTATATCACAATATCATATAGAATATAAATATTTTAGGTTTTCATACTGTAATATATTTTTTTTATTTTGTATTTGTTTCACCTTTTATGTTCTAATAACTGATAAGTGATATACCAATTAATTTAAATTATTATTTACCTAATTAGAACATTTTAATCAAATTACTAGGGGTTTAATTCAATTTTTCAGCTTTAATCAATAATTTAATAATAGATAGGTAACTTATTATTTACATTTCAAAAAAAAGGTTTTTCAATCTATAAAAAAAAACTAACTTCTACTCTAACTTAAGTTACTATTTTCACCCAACTAACTTCTAACTAACTAAGTTAGAAAGGTGAACAGTTTCAGGAACTAACTTATTGTTGTTAACTAACTACTAGTTGAAAAAAATAACTAACTTGCCGAGCTTTGAATATAACCTGATCATAACGAAATGTGTGAATTTGTGTTAGGTACGACTTACATTATAATAATATATAGGTATGGGCATACGACTTAACGAACTGTCCGTGTATATTGGTGGCTTATTGTTTTTTTGTTCACTACAATTATTAGAATTGTTAATCGTCGCTGACGAATGTCGACAATTGACGATTGCCATAGATATTATTAATTATTATAAAATGTATTATTTACTAATGATAAATCCATAGACCTTAATATATATTATTATACTCAGTACCTATACCCTATACGGTATATTGATAAGTCTTATGTACTTTTACAGAAATTTTTGTGATCAGAAATCGCCATTTACCTATTTTTTATTATTAACCTATTCTGGTTTTCTATTTGATATTTCATGCTAGTTCGCATGCCAAATTTAACTATGCAAAACTGGTCCGCAAGTTTATAGAAATTCTATTATTCGAATGTATTATCCCGCCAGATTTTCTAAACACAGTGTTTGAGAAGTTTTTTTTTTGGTAGGTTACCTACCTAATTAAATTACAATATGAATTTTTTTTTTTTTTTTATTGGATAACCCGCGGCAACATAGGCCATTGGGTGTTAGTGGTTTATTTTGTGTGTTGTTATGTCGGTAGAGGGAGGAACACGTGTGTGTTGGGTTTGGCAGAATTTTGAATGGGGCACCCGTAGGTTTCTGCCCCGGAGTGGGGGATGGCGGCACTTGTTCTCCGGACACCGTGACTTGCCCGGAGAAAAATACCGCCCAGTGGTCGAGAGGATCGAACCCGCGTCCGCCAGCGCCGCAGACGACGTGTCCGACCGCTCGGCCACCTCGTCCCCCATATGAATTTTTTTAAGGTACCGCTATGGCGCTATGTTTAGGTACTTGTCCAAAACTCGACTACCGGGATTTAAATTTAAAAAAATGTAATTTAGGTAACCTTTTGATCTATTATAAAATAGAAACTTAACCTACCAATAATATCACTATATAAAATGAAACCTATGTGTTGCAAAATATATTTTTAAAATACCTATGATCAACCTTTATAAAATAAATAAATATTTTCATCCAATATCCATTATGCCATATTGATATTGGTTATAGGAAGACAAATTATGTGTAGATACCTTGTCGCAAAAACATATTCATGTTAAAAAAAAGCGGATAAGTGGATGTCGCTCTGCTGTACAGACTTACAGTAGGCTACAAGTGGGTTAATCAAGTTAATGTTTAATGGATTATATTTAACTTGAATTGTATGATATAATATCATTGTACCTATAAGAAAAAACGATTCTGAGCGGAGACGTTTTGTCAGTCTAGATTTTAGATTCTGAGTGGAACGATGAATGTATAGATTTTACAATGATGTGTGTTTTTTTATTTTTTATTTTTTTTTGTGTCTGTCATCACCTTTTAGGACAGTAAAAGTGCTTGGATTTTCTTCAGCAGTATCTTTTCTGATAGGTAAGTGAATCTAGTTGGTACTTAGAGGTGGTCTAGAGTAAAAATTTCCTAGTAGTTTTCAAAAGCGACGTGAAAATCGAAAGAAAAATTAAGAAAAAACTGGAATTTTTACGCAAAATCTGTTTTCCACAAAATCGAAATCCAAATTTCACTGAATGTTAATATTATATTCCTATACACTATACAATTTTGAAAATATTTTGACTCTATTTGAGCTGTTTACGGACATTTTCAGTTTTCAATTTTTTTAGTTTTTTTTTCTACAAATATCAATAAAATTTTATCTGTTGGACCAAAAAGTGTAACATTTAATACAAGGCATGATATATTGTTATAATATCAGTTAAAAAATATTAAAAATACATATAGGCACAATTTTTTTTTATAAGCATTTAAAGATCGAATTTTGACAAAATTTATCAAATTTAAAATTGAATAATTATTCAATAATTTTAATAATTTAATAATTTCGTAGTTAAAAATTTATATAAAATGTTCAACTTTTATATCTAAGGATTGAAAATTTAAAACAAGATTCCACGTAAGTATAGTTAATTCTGTTACCAAAATATCTAAAAAATACATAGACAGTTTATTTTTATAGTCATTTTAAGTTCAAATTTGGATGAAATTACATAATAAAAAACCTAGAATAACTATTTTTAGTTATTTTGTTATGATTGTATAATATTTTCGTGGGTTATACCACCTATACTTGAAACTTCTAAAGTACACCAAATACTATAGATTAATAAATCTATAGTATTTGAGTACACTATTTTATATCTATGATAGTATCAGGGTTTGTTGATGTATAACGCGTTATAAGTACCTAATGGATATTGTGATATGTTTAGATATTTTGGAATTTATTATAGGTCATTTTTTTTTTAATGCCATAGATAAGTATATAATATGTGAATATGTCTTATACCTAGACTGACATACCGTCTCCGCTCAGAATCGTTTTTGTTATACAATGATATTATATATTTATATCATTGAATTCAAATTTAATACCATCCATTATACAGTGACCCACTTGTAACCTACTGTACAGCAGAGCATCTTTTTTATCATAATTATTTGAAATCATTTTATTTATTATTTTTTATTGTATTTGTTTGAAATCATTTTTGTTTTGGTTTGCTATAAGCTTTAAAATCACTTGATGATTGAATTATTCATGTTGTTATTTTGATAATTATGTTTTGATTGAAGGCACGTAAATGTAGGTCATTTCTTACTCATCAAATATTATAGATAGTCAAAATAGGTAAGTAGGTACCTATTTTTTTTATAGGCATGATTTTTTACCAACATTAAATTTTCAAAATTTGACTGCGGCAAATGCCCTCCTATCCTTCTCAAAATGACTAATAACACCTCTCATATTTTGTAGGTACACAAATTATGCACATATTAAAATTTAAAATTAAAAATATTTTCACGAACTAGTTGTAGGAATGTAGGTAATTTAACTTCATAGTTCATAGGTATAATCCATAGACCTAAAAACTAATGGACAGCGCTTAGCGAGAGAGAGGCAAGAGAGGGGTTCGTTCTTTCCTCTTTCTTTCTCTTGTATGATTCCCGTGCATTGATGATTATTGGCATGGCGGAGTGGAATGCTCTGACTGTTCTATGGTATAATCAGTGTGTTTAACTACCGACATGGATGAAAAACTAAAACGTACGGAATATGTTGTATTCCAAGACTAGATGTCAATTTCGCGCCTTTTCTACTCGACAATACAATGCATTGTTAGGTTAAACAATTCTCCCGAGTCCCGATAAGGTAAACAGACTGTCAGACTACAAATGACAAAACAAAATATTATTCTGTATTTTTGTGTTCTGTAGTCTGAAGTTCTGTTCAAGGTGTATCAACTATCTTTGGTCTTTAATTCTGTCTGTACTCTATATTACATTATTACCCTGTATAGTGTAGTACTGCTGTGTTATACTGGTGCAATAAATACTATCTTTTTCATATTTGATCTAATTTTGTTTTTTATTCTGAAAGTGAGTTTGTTGTCATTAGTTTGTTGTGTTTCTAAATCATTGACATCGATTGAAAAATTAAACTTGGGAATTTTTGATTTTCACAGTCCATCTGGATAGTCATGTCCAGCAGTAAAGCTGTCGAAAAGTCTGCCAAGAAGTTGGTTCAAAAGTGTTTACCGTTCAAGTTGGTAAATTCACCCGGCGACGATGCAAATTCCAAGTGTCGTAAACGGAAACTTAGTGGCACTGAAAATGACGAAACACGAGTTGAAAATCCCAAAGTTGAACTGCTCAATGGAGGGACCAAGTGTTTTATTAAATCTGACGATGAAGATAAGAAAAAAACTGGGGTAATGACTATAGTCTACTACATTATTTGCTATAGCTATGCCGCTCTCACAGATTATTCTCTTTAATTTAAACTTGTTACCTATAGTTAATACATATTATACAGGTACTTAAAACTAGGAAGTATACTATTATTATGTTTTGACATTTATTTAGTAATAATCCATATTTTGGAAAATATAAAAAGTAATTTTATTATAGGTATTATTAATTAATTAACAGTTTTAATAATCTAGCCATAATTTACAAACAATGATTAATATATTTATTGTATTTATTTGCCTAAAATAATTTCTACCTATACAATTTATTCAAAATATATTATTCTATGACAAAAATTACTTTTTACTAATAATATATTAGTTAAATAAATTTTTTTCAATTTTTAAATTCCTACGCTACTTACCATTTTTCATATTAAAATATCAAATATTACTTAATATTTTTATTATATTATAGGACACAAGTGATGATGATATAGGTGCTATAGAATCTGTTAGTTCAGTTACTACTTTGTCGGACAACAAAATTGAGAAGGTGTATGAAGAGAAAAATGATGTGGATACTTCAAAATTTGATGAAAGTATCAAAGATATTGATGATACTATTTCTACTTCATCAGATACAGATATTCCTTGTAACGATACATCAGTTAATTCAACTTCCGATACTGGAAAATTAGAAAATACTACACCACCTTCAAAGAAGATAACTTCACTACAAATATTAAAAAAACAAGAATCAGCAAAAAAAAATAAAGAAAGACAAAGAATTAAACAGGTGAGTTGTTTTTTTATACATTACTTCCCAGACAAGAAATTGCATTGTGTATTTGAGAGGACTCTACACCCACATGTGTTGTATACTTGTATCCGTCTTACAAATGTAAAATAGCAAAAACTGTTTTGCACAAGTAAGAACCACTCAGGCTGTAGTCCAGTTAAGCAACCAAATGTTCACACAAGAAAGAGAAGAATATTGACTGGACTGTATTGTTTAATGTTTTTAATTTTTCGATATCACAAAAAAAAGTTTTTATTGTTTAAAAATTTATTATTTTTTTAGTTTTTTAAACTTGAATAACTTTTTTTTTTAGTTTGATATCGAAAAAAAAACAATGTTGCACTGTAAATGTTCTCCTTTTTATAGTCTGAACATTTGGTTGCTTAGCTTAGAGTACAAGACAGATTTGCTATGTTTCATATATGTAAGACTGAGACGGGTGTAGGGCCTCTTAGGGCCGTTCTTACAATGTCCGGTAAAGTGTCGGTTAACGCTAACCGACTGATAACAGATTTTATTACCGGCAGAATTCTTCCGGTTAAGTGTCGGTTAACTTTAACCGGACGTCGTAAGAACGGCCCTTAATGTTTTTTCATTGTTTATTTTTTTAAGCAATGTTAACTGATTATAGGAAAAATTAAAAGCTCGAGAAGAAAAACTCAAAGAACAAGCTGAAAAGCAACGTATAAAAGAACAAAAAAGAAATGCTGAAATTGAGTATGAATTATATAATATAATACATTTATAAATGAATATCTTTATCTTTATCTTTATAATATTTTAGAGCTAAACGACTACGTGAGTTAGAAAAAAAACAAAAAGAAGAAGAAAAAAAAGCCAAAGAGTTAGAAAAAGAACTAGAGAGAAAACAAAAAGAAGAGGAAAAGAAAGCTAAAGATTTGGAGAGAGAAAAAGAAAAAAAGCAAAAAGAAGACGAAAGAAAAGCAAAAGAATTAGAAAAACAAAAACAAAAAGAAAAAGAAGAAATTGAAAATAAAAAAAAAGAAAAGCTTAAAGCTGCTTTTGTTGGGTTTTTTAAACCAAAAAATTTGAATTTAGATATTTCTAAAAAGGACGAAGAGATCATTAGTCAAGAACTAGAAACTTATTTCATGCCTTTCCAAGTAATTTATAATCTTTAGTTTATTTTTACATATTATTTTACATTGGTATTATTATAATACTCATAATATAGGCATATAGCCATATGCTTTGTTGAAGTTAAGAAACATAGTCGCCGGTGACCAACACACGTTTATACTCCCCCTCCACTTAGTCAATTATTTGTGTACCTGCCATATAGTATTCCCACTCCCAATTACACGACCCCCGTGACTACGTTTACTTAACTTGAGGTACAGTGTAGGTACAGTATACCTATACTGAAATATACAATTTAATACATTTTAATATTTACACTTTTTTAATTATATTTTATAGACTAAGCAAGACATGAAAATAGCACCATTATGTAGAGCATATTTAAATAGTGATAAAAAAAAAATTGTAGATAAATGTATTAGTCATTGCGAACAAAATAAAGACTTACTGTATTTAAGTTTATTAAAAACCAGGAAACACAAGCCTTCTAAGTCTGATGCAACTTGGCCCATTCATGTTGAAGATGATACAGACGTCATTATCATTGGTATGTATTTTAATTTATATAACTTCATAACAAAATTATAAAAAAATGTTATTCTGTACTCAAAATAATAATGATAATTTTGGTTCTGGGTCCTCTGTTAAAATTACAATTTTGATGGTTATTTTTAAAAACTAATTTGAATCTGTGACATAAAGGTATAATTATTATTTTTGAATTTAAGCTTATACAAATTGGCAATAAATAATACATCTACTGCACATAAATAGTTATCATCAAATTTCAAAACAATAGTAAATTAAATTCTTATATCTATATAATTGTATATTTAGTTTTATAACTTCATCATTGAGATCTATAGTTAGATTTAAATTTTATCTACAATATAAATCCTTAAGGGCATCACTTAGTATTGATAATACCTAACTTTAAGTTCAAAAATAATAATTATATTTAATAAATATTAAATGTAGTTGAGAAGGACTTGGAAACAATAGGAGTGAACAATTGAAGATATATAATTCAGGACAGGGAGAATTGGCATGAATTTGTGAAGGTGACAAAAACTCTTGCAGAGTAGTATAAGCCAGAGAGGCAGAAAAAAATATTAAGAAGATTAAATGATTGTACACTTCATACTATAATTTAATCAAAATAATATGGTTATTCTTTAAAATTTATTTAGAAACTGGTTCAACAAATGATGAAGATGTGAATAAAGTTGGTACTACTCTTAAAAACAATTCTCAAAAATACCGTTGGAAACTGTTGCAGTTTGATGAAAATAAGCGTCCTCCCTATTGGGGAACATGGAGGAAAAAAAGCCTTAACGTAAAACCAAAGAGACCATTTGCTTGTGATAAAGTATGAGCTTTTATTTATTTCAAACAAACATTTATTTAATTTTGGTATTTTGAATTTTATTTTAATTAGATAATGTTTGACTATGAAATTAATTCTGACGATGAGTGGGAAGAAGAAGATCCTGGTGAGAGTATACACGGTACAGATAATGAAGAAGAGCCTGAAGATGATTATGAAGTTGATAATGATGTTTTTGTTCCGCATGGATATTTAAGCGATGAAGAAGGTCAAGACAATGATAGCGATGTTCGTATATAATTGTTTTAATTTTATTAAAAAAAATTTGATACATTAATACTTTTATTATTTTAAAGACTGAAGAAGTACAGAAAGAAAAACTAAAGCTTCTAGGGGAAGAATTTGAAGCTGAAATCAAGAAAAAAACAGAACGTATTAAGCCAAGGCTAGTTGGTTGTATTTGGATACCGAATAATGTTATTAACCCCAAAAATGGTAAAATATTGAATTTTTTTAAATTTTTATACCATTTTCTAAATAAATATTAATTTCAGTGAGTAAATCTGTAGCTGACACATTACTAAAATATCGTTGTGTTTGGGATGAGGAAGAACCTATTATAACAAAAGCACAAATCAAAGTAGATTCACCTAAGGATCTAACTGCTACTGAAAACAAAAAGACTAAAATACTTCCTGATTCAAGTACTATTACTAATATAAAAATTAATAATACAATATTCTTTGTCATTTAAGTTATTTTATAATATTTTTTCACTGTCAAGTTAAGTTTTAGAAATAAATTATTTGATAAAAAATTATTTTCAAATTGTTATTACAATAAACTGTATTATACTCTGTTCGCCGAGAGAAAACGTCACGGCCCGATAAAAATCGGTTCGTTCTGCGCATTCCCTCGCGTACGCAACTGCCGACTGGGGTCGCTAGCATCGGCGTTAGTCGCCTATTGTCGTCTTGACGACCAGGCATCTTTAAGTTTCTTACATTTTTGAATGAAAGCATAGAGTTTTAATTTCATATTCCAAAGCAGAATATTTTTCTAAGTATTTTGATACATAAAAATTAAATTTAGGGCGAGTAGTTGAAATTAAAACTATGTTATAATTCAAAAAAGTTAAAAACTAAAAAATATATAAGGATAAAAAATATTTAAAAATATGATTTTTTAATAAAATCATTGTTTTTTCAACAACTGGAAACTATGTAAAAAAATATTTTCAAAAACATTAATACTTTTGGAGATAATGAATGTTTTACGCTTAACGAATCACCCTGTATTATTATGTATTAACTATCATAAATTATAAACAGTTTTTGTATTTTTTTAGTTATTCCTGATTTGATTACATTTATACATGGCAATACAATTGGTATGAAATTGGCTGTTAAGAATTTTATTGATGAGCTGGTTAAAAATGGCCGAAATACTGATGATGATAACTTTATCTCTCAATCAACCATTAAGAAAACCATAAAATCTATTGCAACAAAATCAACTCATGTTGCTCCATGGTAATATATTTATTGTTAGATTATTAAAAAAATTTTAAATAATATTTATATATAGGTGTGTAAGTCAAGAGAACTTTAAAAAATATGGAGTTGAGTATCCTACAAATGTTGAAAATGAAGTTCAAAAATTAAAATCTTCCGTTAAAAAAATAACCAGTTTTATGGCACCTCAAAATCAAAATGAAAAAACAAAAGCCAGTTTATCCGAAAAGTAATTTTTTACCTTTATTATTTTTTTCTTTTACACAATGTTTATTTAAAAGTACTACATTGTTATTAATAAATTAGGCCGTGTGGCGAAACGGATCAAAATGTGACTGAGTCTAAGAAAGATGTTTTTATCCCAAAAAATCTTTTCAACAATAAAGAGAGCACAAAACCACCAGTTGTGGACATAATTAAGGAAGGACAAAAAGTCAACATTGTCGGAGGCAAAAAAAGAATTACTCCTATTCTTTTATCACCAAAAAAAAAATTTAAATCAATGGTAGACAGAAAATTTAAAGAGAAATCTTTGAGTCCTGACTTAGAAGAGGTCTGTGAAGACATACCTGTCCCTAACATTAAAACTGTATGAAATCCATTAATATTTCTACAAAATGTAGGTATCTACAATTAGCATTGTTAATACTTTTGTTTATATATTGTTTATATTATTTCAATTATTTTAATATTTATAAGTTTTATTTAATGAATGTAAGAAGTTTTTTTTATAGTTTTATAGTATTGTAACATTGATGTTACATAACATAATTATACTATAAATTGAAAGTAACCTTTATGAATAGTCTTATTTCTTTAATGCTAACTGATTATTCTGTGGGAATTGTGCATTGTTTATTTATTTTTAATATAAATATGTTATTAGGCTGGATGATACACGATAAAAATGTTTTTGACTGATTTTTCGTAAGGTCTTCGTTGTCATGGTTACGTATTAACAAAAACATATTAATTATGATTCATAGATTTTCCTTGTAGAGGAAAAATATCGAGAAGTATGTTATGGTTTTTTTTAATTTAATAAGTTGCTACTTTCCAACATAAATAATTGTATAATATTAACTATTGTCTATTGAAAATATATGTCTGAAGTATAAAATTAAAGGTAGCTTTTATTAAAAGTACATTTTTGAACACCATTCTTTGTTAAGTACTAAATAATATCTTGCCCTAAATAGTGAAAATAGTAAAAAAATGTATTATAAAAATATATCGTTGTAGAATTAATGATTATAAAGTTCTTGAAAATTAAAATTAAATTGTTTTTTATAAGTTTCAAAAACTGTTAATCATTGGAGTAAAATTAATTGTAACTTACTTTGCTGTACAGTATATTTTTAGTGTACTCATCTTTGTAATGGATATGTTAAATTAGAATTTAATGTATCAGGAGTACCTGGATAGGAGAGTTGGTGCATCATAATAATTATGTTATAATATGTACCACTCGGCACTCAGTATGCCAATTGTCAGTACTCAGTACCATCAATAATTCTTTGAGGAAACATTAAATTGGCATTAATTCTTCTTTCTGCTTTAGTAGCTATGAGCTAATGCAGTCAGGACAGAATCTGTTGAAAACTTAAAATATTATACAATTTTTTTTTTATTATAGTATGAAAATTATTAAATCTTATAATCTTGTAATCTAGCGCATACTACTATTGTTCATTACAACTTTTTTTTATTAATAATTATTATTTGATTGAATAAAATTAGTTGTCTATAAATTGTTTTTGTATAACGAATACCGTGGCAAAAGTGATTGAATATTATGCTTGCTTGTCTGTAATGGAAGTTGCGGGGGGGGGGGGGGTATGCTTATTTACTACCAAAATTGTCCAAAGCCACCCATAAAATGGTTGGAAAAATAATTTAGATTTACGATTCATAGAAAACAGTTGATAGATTTATAATAAAAAATAATATGACTAAATATTTAAATTAATAATATATTGATTGAAAAAATGTCCATATATTCCACTGACAGTTAGTGCTGAATCACGACCACCCAACACAAGTTATTATCTTAGTACCAAGTAGGTATGGTCTATAAATAAATTAAAATACATATACCCACCTTAAACCAAGTGTAACTTGAAGTTTTGGCTATCCAGTGTAGAAATTGGTTACACCTTATACTTAAAACATAAATGCCTTTAGCCTTAGCCCTTAGGTATTTAAATTGAGTATTTGATGAATTCTTAAGTACAATAAATAATTTCCAAATATTCGTGATTTTGAATGCCTGTTCATTGAAAAAAAATATCTAAATAATTTTGTTATATTTATTATGATTTATGATCTTTCAATGTTTCTTGGAGCCTCGATGGTAGCAAGTAATTTTTCTATCGTATTTCAAGTTTGACCCCCCCCCCTCCTATACATCAATAATTTTACCCAAATTCTACCTATGGGTGGTGTCGGTGTGATGGAGACACTCACACCAATGTTCGTTTACTTCTCACACAACTTCAAGACGACCCGCGTTGAACCAATTGAGACACTTATAAGAACAAAGGCCCAATTCGAACTTTCAATTTTTTTCAGGAGACAAAAAAACTTATTCAGTTAAAAATTATTAGTATGATCACAAATTTTGAATTGTCTTCATATTTAATACCTTCAAGTCTATAATTTTTTTCAGTTAGAAGTTATTTTGAATATTTCAGTAAGTCAAAGTATTTGTTTGAAAATTGTAAATTTGGGCCTTTGTTGAAAATGACTAATTGGGCCCTTGTTCTTATAAGTGTCTCAATTGCCTAAGTATTCCATACTCCTTACTCCTTATAATTTGAGCTATAGCTTCCAACAGTTCCAACCATTGTAAGTTATTTGTTTATGAGTAAAAATTATTTTCTTATATATGTTGTGGTAATGTGGTGTACAATAAAGTAGGTTAATATCATCAATGTTTATATTTATGTATTATAAAATGTTTAACATTTCCTATTTTCCTTGTTATTTCTAAACACACTCCCAGTTGACTAGTTACTTATCTATGCATTGCTGCCAAATTTTAGAATCTCTGAACGTTTTATAAGATAAAAAAATAAACTTACATAAAAATAATATGTTAAAGTCATAAAATTTACATTTTATTTCATGATAAAAATTATTAATTTCATTAAGTTGTAACTCAGTTAATTGTAAGTTTAGGTTCTATTATATTATTTAGATAACATTTTTTTGGTTATCTTTGTACAACACTGCATACAGTTGTAATATACAGATGTATTTATAAACATGTTAAACAATAATAATAAAATACTTTAGTGAAACGGCGTAATGGGTAGGCTATTTAGCTGCACCACTGTCGTGGGTTCATTGCCGGCGTTACTAAATTATTATGGTTTATTCAAATTTCAAACAAATAATTGAAGTACGATTTACGAGAAACCCTACTTAACTAATTTCCCATTAGCATAAGCTTTATAGCAACATATTATTATCGAAACGTACTTTTTTTTTATAGTCGAAAAGAAATCGCCCTAAAAAATTGTGCAATTGGTAGGTTATTTATGATAAATTAATAATATTAATATTTCTCTTGTGCATGCCAGATGCCTATATAAATGTTTAATATTATCAGTATTTAACTATTTATTTTGTATACTGTAGTAGTATACGATAGCAACATTAACATATTTCTTGGCCAAAAAATGATGATTTCCGGATGCTTGATTGTTGACATGCTATTTTATTGTGGTAGCACTTGGTTATATAAGTCGAAAACTAGCTGGGAGCTACGATGTTACGATAATTATTAAGGGCAATGCCGGGCCGATGGTTTTGGGGGCCCGGTGAAGAATTTTTCGGGGCCCCATACATATTCATTTATTTTATTTCCTAGAGGTCTTACTTTATTTTTATATAATTTTATAAACTTTAAGGTAAGTACCTATTGTGAGAAACCTAAATTTGTATGTATAGGTACTAATACAATCTGATTACTAATAATCTTTAATTATTAAAAAAATACTTAATATGAAAATCTTAATTACTAATTGAAACTGATAATATTATATAATATTACTTAAATTTTGTTTTTCGTGCTTTCTTTGATGCAAACAGATCAATTGTCTCATTGTAGCTCAATGAACTGGCAATACTATGTTGGATGCTGATAATGGCCAGATCAGATTACTTATGGTGTGATAGATTGCTTCTTAAATAGTTTTTTATTAGCTTTAATTTAGGGAATTAACTGTTTGCACCTGCTGATGTAACTATTCAATGGCACTCGGTGGGCGCCTCTGATATTTGATTATTTTTCTTATACGTACATTTACAAAAATATTATTGTTTAATATAAAAATTAAAAATATAAAAGTATAAGTCAAGTTTAAATATTTAAAAACAAGTTAGTTGCCTGCCTATGTTTTATATTATTTTCTGTTTGATGTTTTTTTTTGGGTGTTCCATATTATTTAATGCTACTTTTGCTTTATTTACACACTATTTCACGAAATTTGACTATATAAGGTTCTTGGCACCCATTTACTATAAATTACTCATATATAGAATACCTAATATACTCCATACAATATAACTTTACTATAGTTATAGTATAACTATCTCCATTTAATATTTATGAAAAGTGGCCGCTGACCCACACGCTTCTGGTGGAATTTTGGTGATGGTTACGCAAAATGAAGAGAGTGCATTTTTAAATATTAGATTTAGATATAATAAATTACCTAATACAAATGTATTACAACGATGTTGGGTATGATGAGCTTTGGAAGAAAGAAGCTTTTGAAGAAAAAAAAGGTTTCTATCATATCGCCAGCGGCCACTTTTCGTTATCCCGACTATAATATAGTTGCGCAGTATTAAATCGTACAAATCAACATACGTGATTTACCTCTATACTCGTTGTCGTGGATATTTCAAATAGTTTATGACTTTATGTCGCACTTTGTCGATTATATAAAGCACATATAGTGCGTTTTACTCTCATATTTTTAATAATTTATATCCCGATCGACATTATATCAGTGGTGCTCGCAAAACACACGTCTGTGCATACTATAATTAATAATTATATTACTGTTACCTATATACCTAAGTAAATGGAGTGTGTTTTGAAAGATAGCCGGCTCGAAGTGTGTTTTTGTTTTGCGACGCAGAGGAGACTCGTATCGTACATAGAATATCCAAGAAAAATATCTGTCAAGCCGTCGCAGGACTCGGCTCATTACAGGAAGCGGTCCGAAGAAACCCTGACGGACCTTGATGGCGATAAGGCGCGTAGTACAGTCTCCCGTAGCAGTCAACAAACTGTTACGCGTAGGATGTGCCAACTGCGGATTATGGACGACAACCAAAATGTCTCCACAGATCGTCAGCTGCAGACGGCGACGGTTCAGAAACGATTGTACTGCAGACTGCCGTCGTCACTGTTGTCGCCGTCATCACTGTTGTCACCGTCGTTGCCATTGTCGTCACCGTCATCTTTGTCATCGGGGGTTGTCGGAAACGTGTCGGTGCGACGCAAACCGACTTGGCCCCGCTTTAACGGTTACAACCACGGCGGCCAGACTACGCGATCTCATCGAAATTTCCGGTCGCCCGCGAAGGAAGTTGTTCAGGCAGTTCCGAGCCTGTGCGCGACACGCGGACGGAAACGGCCCACGTTTGTAAATCCGCATTGGGTAGTTCGGTACATCCAACTAATACTGCAGACGGAAATTTAGCTAAAGACCGAAATTAGATCAGAAATCTTTTCCCTAACGAATTGACGCCTTAATAATATTGATATCGCGGAGGTGTTGTGGGGCAGCGGCGGAGGTGGTTGCGTAGGTGCAGGTGTTACTCTATAATCTATATGTCTAAATATTATTACCATACTATAATATAGTCACTGTTTTTATTGTCATAAAATTATTTGTTCGATGATATTTGATGTTGGAAATATCTTGTCCCGCGATTGTAATATTATATTATTACATATTTTTATTGTTCCGCGACAGATAGTCCAGATATTCCGCTCTTTACTAGACAAATAGTGTGAGAATTCGACATAGGTACAGCCGTACAGGTTAGAATATTTTTAAATCAGTAAATAACACACACGGGCGAATAGTCTTAAAAGTTTTTTTAGTTGAAAACGAAACCTTGTTTAATTAAGCTGCGTATTTTTATTGAAATTAATAGTACACAATAATATATACAATTATATAGTAATATTATATTATAGTATAGTATACTCTATAATTGTATTGTGTTTGCGTAGAATATTAGTCTAGCTTACGATGTAGATTTTATCAACATCGTGGTTAGCTAAATATTATTATAGAATCTGCTACAAAAACAAGTCCCGTACATCGACAGATCGCGACACTTGATCGGTTTTTGTACGAATTCGGAATTTCTAATAGCTCAAACATATATTTTGAAAATTAAACCATACAATTAGAAAATTATATAAATCTCTTATAAAAAAATGTTGTATAGAAAGTGCCTACTTTTGTTATCAAATTACAAGAGACAAGAAAATGGAATTTGTTGAAAAGTAGTTTTTGCGTATTAATGCCTGTTTTTGTGTAGTTGTATTGTTGTTTCCCCTTCAATCAAGAAAAGTACTAAGAATTTTAATGTTTTACCTCCCTGGAAAACATTTTCTAGCTCATGGAAATATTTAAAACAAATCAATAAATTACGACTATAATATCTTTAAGTTTTAACATACCTATTGTGAATATACTGATGAAGAAGATGATTCATTTTTGTTAAAATAAAGCCATGCAAAAGTTGTCAAAAGGGTCCTCTTTGTTGTTATACAAGGCCGTCAATAAATATAGTTTATTTTCGAACATATATAAAACTTTGATGTTGACATATCAGTAAGTTCTTATTGACATTACCCATAACGTATTACGTAACTACGTAAGTTACGTATGATAGATTTTAAACACGAATATATATTAAAAAACCGTTTAAGAAAAATGAACTATGGCCTATGAATAGGTACTTGGAAACTTTGGTGTTAATCGCCATCGAGAAAAAAAATATATACTAATCAAACTTAACAATGACGGAAAAATAAACTGGAGAAAAGAGTAAATTATTATTATAAGTAAAACAAATATAGTTATAACTGAAGCTAAAATAATAGTTTGTTCTTTATAATTTCACCATTTATTTTAATTTAATTAGAACATATTAAATATTATTAACATATTATATAAAAATAACTCAAGGTTAATATATTTTGGTTTGTGTATTTTAGTTTTGAAGTTTTTATAAAAGTTCTACATGCAGTATATTTTAATATTTGTTATTTATATACATTTATATCAAAATGCAATAGGTACATAAATGGATAAAATAAAAAGTCTATTATAAAAGGATGCAAATGTTGGAGTGGTTTGGATGATATTAATTTTTCCAGCCTGAATTTTTTTTCCCACTTCACCTCTGAATTTGTATGAATTCGTTGTTTCACTGTGTAACAAAAAAAAAAATAAAAAATAATTGGCATAACCTGTATTGTTAAAATATATATGATAATTTACCAAGCGGTGACCCTTTTATCATTTAACAATGCATTTATTCAAATTCTGATGTTTTAAATTCTTAAGTATTTATACCATTTATACCTACATTTTTTAAACCATTTTTAAGGATTATTCTGTGGCCATAGAAACACTTTATTCAAATAAGAACAACCTATTTTCATTTTTCACGTTCATCCTATTTTCATTATACATTTTTAAACTGTTAAGCACAATATGATTATTTTTTTAAATTTTGATGCATTTTAAATTTCTAAGAGTAGTTTCGAAGTTATTAAACTTAATGGATTAAAAGGACACACCCGTGTTGTGTTGTTTCAGTCTTACAAAAAACAAACGTACAATACAGCAAATTTGTGTTGAGGAGTTCCAATTTTGTGTAACAAGCTTTAATAATAGAGTGAATTGACCTATTATTAAACTTAAAGGTAAGAACATTTTTTTGTGTTAAATTTTGGGTTTTTACTTTTTACGACATTTTAATTTTTAAGCGATTTATGAGAATTTTTAAATTATTATTTATTATATATATTTTACATACTCATAACTTGCTTAAAGCTAAAATTTCGTAAAATACCACTAGAAATTATAGATAATATTCTTACGCTTACCTTTAAGTTTGATAATGCATTAGGATAGTGAATTTAATCTCTTAGTCAAGGTTACTACACAAAATTGAGACGACTCAACACACACGTGCTATGATTAAAAATTAAGAACGATTTTAGACGAAGACAATTTAACATTTAATATTTATCATCTCAAAAATAATTGTCCTATCGATAATGCTTTAATATAAAAATATAAAATGTATGCAATAATTAATTAAATATCTACTATTCTACTATTATTATACTTACCTATGCAAATCGAATGGTTATTTTGATTATAAATACAACATACGCCACTTTGTCGGTAGTTAATGAAGATTTGGATGGATACATTTTATAATGCATCTGCCGGAGTTGTTTTGTCGTTATCGAGTAACAAATATTATGTATACAGTCGTCAGTCTTATACTTCCATCCATCTAATCATTACATAGTACAAAAATAATGCTCAACTACTTACTTCCAATTGGTGTCTTTGGACAGTGTTTCGTACGTGATGTGTATGTTATATACTATAATATTATGTAGTATGTAAGTAACTACGAGAATGTAATACAATATACCTATTATATAGACTTATAGACGTCAATAACAGGTAAAGTAAAAATATGAAGGTAGGTGTATATATATATATACAATGTAAAATGGTGTCCGAGGCGATGAATAATCATAATAATAATAATAATAATAATAATAATAATAATAATAATAATAATAATAATAACGAACTGGTATTCATCAGAACGACGACGACGACGACGAAGACGACGACGTCGGTGACTGTCTGTGTATAATATTATAGCGTATATAATATAGTAGGAGGTATATTATAGGTACAGTCAAGACGGTGGCGGCGGTTCGGTAGAAAAAAAAATGAAATATAATATTATAATGTACTTACGGGAGACGGCGGCAGCGGCATCAGTACTGTGCGCCTCTTGTCGTGTGGTGATTTTTTTTTCCACGAGAAAACGACCGACGGACCGTTGATTGATGGCTACGGCCAATCGTGACCGGCAACGGTAATATATCGGTAACGCTGCAGGAGACGCTCTATTGGGACGACGTATGTGTAATATAATGACGACGACTTTTGTACCTATGCATTGCGCACACACACACAAATACAAATACGAATATAAGAGATAGTCGTACCTACAACGTGTATACAATAATATATAAAATATGTGAGGTGCTGCAGACGTGGTGTAGAGAAAAAACAAATTACGCCATTGGTTATTAATAGGTCTGGTGCGTATAATGTATGTGTGTATTACTGTGTACATTACCTATACATGTGTAATGTGTATATAATAATAATAATATGCAGAGCGATCGACCGGTGCGATTTGTGTGTCCAATATACTGAGGAGGTATACAGTGTACCTATATTATAATTTCGAGAAGGAGATGTGTGTGATTATTGAACTGTAAAATACATCTGTGTAGGTACCAGCGTACAATTTTTACAACCATATGATTTTATGAAAAAAAAAAAATGGCCAAACCAGAATGAAAAAAAAAACTACTTAAGTCAAATATCAAATACAACATGTTCTTGTTCTTTGTTATAACTTTAAAAGTGAACATATTTCTCTATATGCCATATTGTCATAGGTATTGCTGGAATAGTGGAATCCATAGGTGTAATATTAAACGATGACGGAATAAGATATTTTATTTTGTTGTCTCTGTCTCACAAACGTACAACGTAGCAAAATAACTGTAGCAGACTCAATTGTATGTTGCTTACAAAATTGCGAGGCTTGTAAATTGTAATTGAAGGATTTTATTTTTAAAAACAGATTTAAATTTGCCTACTGGTCTTTTATGTTTCAGTCTAAGTGATACTTGATAATCGAGTTTAACGTTAAATTATTGATAGTTAAAAATAACATTAATTTCCATTATTTGTAGACGTTTAATATCTAAATGTTCAGTTTTTTGAATATAAAAACTTTCCTAGATCGGAACTTGCAGGTAGTTTCGAACACAAAAACAAATTAGTTGTTAAAGATATTTAAATCAGCAATCAATCCCAATCCCAAATCTACACTCTTTTGGGTTGTTTTACAAGTTTTTTTGTCTACCAGTTTCTACTACTTAATAAATTTAACGTGAACTTGTTACCTGAAATCTTAAAGGTATAATAGGAACATTAGCAATTAGTACGTTAGTAAAAATATATTATATACAAATTTTAACAATGTTTAACATATTATTCAGTGCCGCATTGAGACATTTTGCGCCCCGGTGAAAAAAATTGCTCCCCCTAAGGAAAATATGGGAGATACATCCACTCTGTTGTACAGACAGTTGTAGTAGGCAGTTGTACCCAGCCCCCCCCTAAATTTGGCACTGATATTATTGTATGTGTAATTATAAAAGTTCAAGTTTATGACGTATGAACGTTTATTTCTGTATGTACCTACACATATTTTTATAACTTTATAGGTATTAGGTGGGTACTTACTGAGTACTAGCTTCTACGTCCATCCGTCTTAACTGAACCGTTATTGAAAACTCCGACCAGTCTAATCAGTCAATATAATAATCAATGACGCACCA